TGCCACGTTGGGTACACGTGCGTCCTAGGTCTGGTGCTCAATACTAGAGGGAAAAGAAGTTCTTGCGCAAGGGCTCATCAAACGCATTGGCTCTGGGACAGATACGAACATTTGGCACGACAACTGGATGCCGAGGGATTACAAACTCACACCAATATGCTCACGGACGACCAATCCTCCAGTTCTGGTCTCCGATCTGATTGACCCCACCACTAGGTCATGGAACAAGCAGGTGCTCATGGAACACTTCATTGCTCCCGATATTGAAGTCATTCAGAATATACCACTAAGTACTAGGGTGCAGGATGATTTCTGGGCCTGGCACTACGATAAGAAGGGTGTTTTTTCGGTTCGATCAGCCTACCGTATGATTTCTGCAGTCAAGGTTCAGAGGGAGGATTGGCTTGATCATCGGCCGGGACACTCAAACATTGCAGCTGACAGGAAATCTTGGTCGCAGCTGTGGAAAGTACGGGTCCCCTCCAAGATCAGAATTTTTGTATGGAGATTAGCACATACCTCCACCCCGACGGGGCTCGTGCGACATGAGAGAAATATGGCAGATTCACCATCATGCTCGATTTGCGGAGCAAATGAAGACACTTGGCATCATTCACTGTTTAGCTGCTCCATGGCGCGATGCGTATGGGCTTTGGGTGATGAAGAGCTACTCGAGCATGTGATATCAAATCAGAACTCTGATGCACGTCTATGGCTGTTTTGGCTGTTTGAATCAACAAGCCAACGTGATGTAACTCGGGTTCTCGTGACAATGTGGGCAATTTGGTGGGCGCGTCGGAAAGCAATCCATGGTGACGTGTTTCAGAGCCCGTTGTCAACCATGAGTTTCATTAGGCGTTTCTTGGAGGATTTGGATATTGTTGAGTCCCAAAAGGAGCGACCGATGCAGGTGCATGCTGCTCCGAGAGCACGGGCATGGCTACCACCCGAGGATGAAGCGGTGAAGTTTATCTGCGATGGTGCATTATCGACCCTGGGAGAGAAGGGAGCGGCGGCTGTGATTTGCCGAGACAAGTCAGGGAAATTTCTTGGAGCATCAGCACTAGTCTTTGAAGGCTTGCTCGACCCGGCGAGTTTGGAGGCGCACGCGTGCAATGAAGCACTTGCCCTTGCTCGCGATCTGAATCTGCAGGACCTGGTGATTGCTTCTGATTGTTTAGAACTGATCTCAAAAATCAGCACACAAGCACTACCAGTGTATGCGCCTATTCTGCAGGATATACACATCAGCATGAACCTTTTTTCTTCAGTTATTTTTCGTTTTGAGCGTAGAGAAAACAATTTCGAAGCCCACTCGGTTGCAAAAGGAGTTGCGTCTCTGCCGGTGGGCCGTCACGTGTGGCTAGGGATCCTTCCAGTTGTTGCTTGTATTCCGGATGTGATGAACTCTTAATAAAATTCCCTAGTTACCTTAAAAAAAAAAAAGACACGCGCCTAGCTGCGAGTGACGATGACTAGCGCTTGGCGAGACGCGTGACATGCTGGAGGCTATTCGACTTTGAGAGCTGGATTCGCTCCGCATCACCGCCGCATCCAGTGTGTACAACGCCGGCCGTCGTCGTCCTGTTCTCGAGTACAGCGCACTTTTAACCAATCGAGCAACGGGCTGCAGCGGTGTTGTGCCTTCGGACCGCAGCATCGCTACTCCATGGTTCTCATTGTGGCAGTACCGACATGCGCGCTGTCGCTGCGTCGCCCCTTCGAAAAGTAGTGTCGCGGCCCGTGGTCAACACCGCCCCGAGGTCATCCGCTTCAGGTCATCTTCGTGGCTGCACCGACCCTCGCGCTGACACTGCATCACCCCATTAGGCCGTAGCGAGCGTGGCACGCGGTTTCTGCCACCGCCCCGTTGTTCTCCCCACGACTGCACCGACCTGCGTGCTACCGATGTGTCGTCCATTCGGGCCGTAGTGGCGTGGCCCGCGGTCCATCCCGTCCCCGTGGTTGCACCGACCCTCGCGCTGCCTCTGCGTCTCCCCGTAGAGCCGTAGCGTGCGTGGCACGTGGTCCCTGCCACCCCCCTGAGGTCTTCCCCGCCGTCACCCCGATCCGGCGTTGCTGCCGCGTCGCCCTTTCAGGCCGTAGCGCCGCGACACGCGTTTCACTTCGCCGCCCACATGTGTGGACTTTTGTGTGGCATGTGCTGCGCCGCCTTCCTTGTGCGAGAACACCACCGTCCGCGCTGGTTTTTTGTCATGTTGTCGGGTTTTTCATCGCCTACTTCGAGCACCGCCGCCGCTCTTCTTCCGCCTAGATCGCTCATGCCGAAACACACACGCCCGTCGCCAATGACCAGAGAAGACTCCGCCTGGATCACTGCTCCAACATGTGCCAACTAAATTTCTACTTTCCACTTTCAATTGAACTAATGGTCTAAATTTATTTATTTTGTAAATATATGAATGGATCTCGCAAATCATGTATTTACCATGAACAGTCCTAATTAACAGCATATACACGTTGTTTTTAGTTGATTAAAAACGTACACACTGGAGGACCAAGTTCAGAGCAGATGCCAAAACTAACCAGGTTCTTCCCTAATGTCACATTGCTTCTCTGTGGATTGATCAAAAAACAATGTAGAATCGTGACCATAAGTCATTTCATGCAAAATTAACTTTAATGCATGGTAACTACTACTACTACTCCGTCTCATATTGTAAGACTTCTTTGACACTGGTGTAGTGTTAAAAACGTCTTACATTATGAGAGGGAGGGAGTACAATTTTGTTGGACAAATGAATGGGTGCGGCAACGTAATCCATCAATAGTCATGGTTATTTGAATAATGGAGGATATAACCATAAGCTCCAAACAAATGTTCATCAATTACTTTATATTTCTTTCTTTATTTATGAGAGAAAACAGGGCCCTTCACCCCTCCGATTACATATAAAGAAACTATGGTCTTGGATGCAAACTATATCAGCCAGATCTAGATAGGAGGTCCAAAGACTAAAGACTCGGACATATGTAGGCACACTTTGGCCAAATGTATACACACTCAAGCGAACTTGCAAACGTCACAAAACACGGGAACTTCATTACAAACCAATGGAGGAACAAAGCAAAGCAAAATATCTTCAAAGTGAAGTTGGAGAAATGCCTTGGCAGCAGTGCTACAACCGTCACCGGGTTTTTCCTCGCCTACTTCAAGCATCATCGCCATGCTCCTAACCTAGCCGCCGCCGTCATCACCGTTATTCTTCCCGGTCCACGACGACTACCTCGACACCAGCCACCCCGACTCGACATCGACCACGGCGTCCCTCGCATAGCTACACCGCCCTACGCTCTTGGCTACCTCGAGATTGGCACAAAGGGCTAACTCGTTGCTTGAGCAACCTCGTCGATTTTCACTCCAACCACGACTTCCGCGATGCATCGACTGTTCGACTGTGGAGGGATGTCCTTCGGCTTACCTTCGGATTATTCTTCAGTCTCACCGTATGCGTCGCTACCATTGTGATTGCGGAGGGGTGCTGAGTATCGCCATTAGGATAGACTAGGAATTATTCTAGCTTATCTTGTACTCCAAGAAGATTATGTAGTCCCATATATATGCCCACGAGGCTCAAGTAATACATCAACAATTCCACCAATCCCCCCTCTATTCCTTCTACATGGAGAAATGCCTTGGCAGCAGTGCTGCAACCTAAAGAACACCCTGGCAAATTCTGAGCACACTTGGTATTTGTTCTATCCGTCTTGTTCCCCACTTCAGTGCCTCTGAAGAAATATCATCACGCGTGCTGCACATAAGGATTAAAGTGCACTCCACTCACCCAACCCAATCTAGTTGTGATGTCATATCGTCTTTAACTTGGTACTCTGTGGATGTCTTTTCTTTTCATCTATACATACGATTCAATCGGTAGGTTAGGTATAAAGTCATGCTACTGCCCAACTAGATGCAAGCATGCATATGTACTGTGTATACGAGTGGTTTTTTATTCTTCTGGAGCATTGCATGTATACCAACAAGCAATTGATCGTGATTGGTGTATGAAATGTGAAAGTTACAGCTACAACCGGAATGAGTGCACTGTGCACGGCGTGCACTGATCGTGATTATTAGAAACCGCGTACTTAAAGGTGCGTCACTGTCCAATAGGAAAGCTACTAGCTTTGGTCACTTTCCGATATTGTCAAAAAACCTTTGTTGCTAGGCTTCTTGGATTCAAAGGGGTTTTAATGAAATTTTGGAGGAGACTAATCCTTAGAAAATTTTCATGTATGTGTTGTTTGAGTCATAGAATAGCAATTCATAGAATAAAAAATCATAGGACTCATTTGCACTAGATTCCGTACAAAATAAATCCATCCATGCAAACCTCAAGTTTAAAATCCGACGATTTATCTGTGTACAACAAAACATCCTACGGGATTCTTCATTTTTTTATCAACAACTTTATTCTTGCACCTCAAATTTTTCTCAAAATAAAAAGATGTAATGTGTTAATACAAAAAAAAATCAACAATTTCATATGTAGTCTACACAAAGGGAAGAAACGACAAATACATAATCTAAAATAGGCTTATTTCTATTGAATTTGGGCTGGAAAAATATTGTGTGTAGCCTACAAATCATCATATGGCTTAATTAAACTGTTCAAAAATGTACATAACATGTATACGTTTTCATAATTTCGTAAATTAACATAAAATAAAATAGTATTTTTAGCACAATTTAAAAATTCCATGCTCACAGCCATCTACTACACTGCTATCTGTTCAACAGAGTTATTGAAAGTGATCAGGTTGTTCACAACTCGGGCGACTGTATGCTTCTGCATGTTGCTCTCCCACGATCAACTGAAAACGCCACATCTATCCGGACGAACACTACTTCAACTTCCCTAGATAACTTTTTGTTGTGATTGGCCTCCTATTGGAGCACTATAATCGGAGGCGTGCAGTCCCGCGTCTCCAAAAGGCAAAGCTAACAAGTGCAAATACGTAGCAACACAAGCTTAGCCATGACGATGAGGAAGCGCCCCTCGTCCTCTCTTCTCATATCACCGCTGCTGTTTATGCTTCTTCCAGCATTTGCTCTTGCTGCGGGGAGGCACAACCTGATCACTAGAGACCCTCAGTACGGCCCACAGGTGAACCCAAATCTAGAACCACTGCCAGGAAAACAGCCAGATCCAAACCCTCAACCATTACCAGACCCACAACCATTTCCAGGACCACGACCAGACCCAAAGCCGCAACCGCTACCCGAGCCTAAACCTCATACAAACCCACAACCACTGCCAGAGCCACAACCTGATCCAAACGCTCAACCATTACCAGGACCACACCCTGACCCAAATCCACAACCATTGCCAGGCCAAAACCTGCAATGGTTGATGAACCCACAACCTAACCCAAACTCGCGGCCACTACCAGATCCACGGCCAAACCCAAACCCTCGGCCATTACCAGGACCGCAGCCTGATCCAAATCCACAATCTTTACCAGACCCAAACC